CAATACCCCATAATGACAAAGCAAAAACTGGTTTTTAGACATTTTTGCAAATGTATTACAAATATAAAACTGAAATATGACATTTACATAAGTATTCAGACCCTTTACTCAGTACTTTGTTGAAGCACCTTTGGCAGCGAATACAGCCTCGAGTCTTCTTGGGTATGACGCTACAAGCTTGGCACACCTGTATTTGGGGAGTTTCTCCCATTCTTCTCTGCAGATCCTCTCAAGCTCTGAGGTTGAATGGGAGCGTCGCTGCACAGCTATTTCCAGGTCTCTCCAGAGATGTTCGATCGGGTTCAAGTCCGGGCTCTGGCTGGGCCACTCAAGGACATTCAGAGACTTGTCCCGAAGCCACTCCTGCTTTGCCTTGGCTGTGTGCTTAGGGTCATTGTTCTTTTGGAAGGTGAACCTTCGCCCCAGTCTGAGGTCCTGAGCGCTCTGGAGTAGGTTTTCATCAAGGATCTCTCTGTACTTTGCGCTGTACATCTTTGCCTCGATCCTGATTAGTCTCCCAGCTCTAGGAAGAGTCTGGGTGATTCCAAACTTCTTCCATTTAAGAATGATGGAGGCCACTGTGTTCTTGGGGACCTTCAATGCTTGTGGATCTGTGCCTCGACACAATCCTGTCTCGGAGCCCGACGGACAATTCCTTCGACCTCATGGCTTGGTTTTTGCTCTGACATGCATTGTCAACTGTGGGACCTTATATAGACAAGTCTGTTCCTTTCCAAATCATGTCCAATCAATTGAATTTACCACAGGTGGACTCCAATCAAGTTGTAGAAATATCTCAAGGATGATCAATGGATACAATTTTGAGTCATTGCAAACAGTCTGAATACATATGTAAATAAGGTATCTGTTTTTAATTTTTAATACATTTTCTAAAAACCTGTTTTCACTTTGTCATTCAAATCAAATCAAATCAAATTGTATTTGTCACATGCACCGAATTCAACAGGTGAAACGCTTACTTACAAGCCCTTAACCAACAATGCAGTTCAACAAATAGAGTTAAGAAAATACTCAAAAAATTTTACACACTAAAATAACAATAATGAGGCTATATACAGGGGGTACCGGTACCGAGTCAATGTGTCAAGGTAATTTGTACACCGCCTAGTATAGAGGTCCTGGATGGCAGGAAGCTTGGCCCCAGTGATGTACTGGGCTGTACGCACTACCCTCTGTACCGCCTTACGGTTGGATGCCGAGCAGTTGCCATACCAGGTGGTGATGCAACCGGTCAGGATCCTCTCGATGGTGCAGCTGTAGAATTTTTTGAGGATCTGGGGACCCATGCCAAATCTTTTCAGTCTCCTGAGGGGGAAAAGGTGTTGTCATGCCCTCTTCACTACTGTTTTGGTGTGTTTGGACCATGATAGTTTGTTGGTGATGTGGACACCAAGGAACTTGCAACTCTTGACCCGCTCCACTACAGCCCCGTCGATGTTAATGGGGGCCTGTTCGGCCCTCCTTTTCCTGTAGTCCACGATCAGCTCCTTTGTCTTGCTCACATTGAGTTAGAGGTTTTTGTCCTGGCATCACATTGCCATGTCTCTGACCTCCTCCCTATAGGCTGCCTCATCGTTGTCGGTGATCATGCCTACCACTGTTGTGTCATCAGCAAACTTAATGATGGTGTTTGAGTCGTGCTTGGCCACGCAGTGGTGGTGGAACAGGGAGTACAGGAGGGGACTAAGCACGCACCCCTGAGGAGCCCCAGTGTTGAGGATCAGCGTGGCAGATGTGTTGTAGCCTACCTTTACCACCTGGGATGGCCCGTCAGGAAGTCCAAGATCCAGGTGCAGAGGGAGGTGTTAAGTCCCAGGGTCCTTAGCTTAGTGAGGAGCTTTGTTGGCACTATGGTGTTGAATGCTGAGCTGTAGTCAATGAACAGCATTCTCACATACAGTGGGGAAAAAAAATATTTAGTCAGCCACCAATTGTGCAAATTCTCCCACTTAAAAAGATGAGAGAGGCCTGTAATTTTCATCATAGGTACACGTCAACTATGACAGACAAAATGAGAAAAGAAATTCCAGAAAATCACATTGTAGGATTTTTAATGAATTTATTTGCAAATTATGGTGGAAAATAAGTATTTGGTCAATAACAAAAAAGTTTCTCAATACTTTGTTATATACCCTTTGTTGGCAATGACACAGGTCAAACGTTTTCTGTAAGTCTTCACAAGGTTTTCACACACTGTTGCTGGTATTTTGGCCCATTCCTCCATGCAGATCTCCTCTAGAGCAGTGATGTTTTGGAGCTGTCGCTGGGCAACACGGATTTTCAACTCCCTCCAAAGATTTTCTATGGGGTTGAGATCTGGAGACTGGCTAGGCCACTCCAGGACCTTGAAATGCTTCTTACGAAGCCACTCCTTCGTTGCCCGGGCGGTGTGTTTGGGATCATTGTCATGCTGAAAGACCCAGCCACGTTTCATCTTCAATGCCCTTGCTGATGGAAGGAGGTTTTCACTCAAAATCTCACGATACATGGCCCCATTCATTCTTTCCTTTACACGGATCAGTCGTCCTGGTCCCTTTGCAGAAAAACAGCCCCAAAGCATGATGTTTCCACCCCCATGCTTCACAGTAGGTATGGTGTTCTTTGGATGCAACTCAGCATTCTTTGTACTCCAAACACGACGAGTTGAGTTTTTACCAAAAAGTTATATTTTGGTTTCATCTGACCATATGACATTCTCCCAATCCTCTTCTGGATCATCCAAATGCACTCTAGCAAACTTCAGACGGGCCTGGACATGTACTGGCTTAAGCAGGGGGACACAGCAGGATTTGAGTCCCTGGCGGCGTAGTGTGTTACTGATGGTAGGCTTTGTTACTTTGGTCCCAGCTCTCTACAGGTCATTCACTAGGTCCCCCCGTGTGGTTCTGGGATTTTTCCTCACCGTTCTTGTGATCATTTTGACCCCACGGGGTGAGATCTTGCGTGGAGCCCCAGATCGAGGGAGATTATCAGTGGTGTTGTATGTCTTCCATTTCCTAATAATTGCTCCCACAGTGGATTTCTTCAAACCAAGCTGCTTACCTATTGCAGATTCAGTCTTCCCAGCCTGGTGCAGGTCTACAATTGTGTTTCTGGTGTCCTTCGACAGCTCTTTGGTCTTGGCCATAGTGGAGTTTGGAGTGTGACTGTTTGAGGTTGTGGACAGGTGTATTTTATACTGATAACAAGTTCAAACAGGTGCCATTAATACAGGAAACGAGGGGAGGACAGAGGAGCCTCTTAAAGAAGAAGTTACAGGTCTGTGAGAGCCAGAAATCTTGCTTGTTTGTAAGTGACCAAATACTTATTTTCCACCATAATTTGCAAATAAATTCATTAAAAATCCTACAATGTGATTTTCTGGAAAAAAAATTCTCAATTTGTCTGTCATAGTTGACGTGTACCTATGATGAAAATTACAGGCATCTCTCATCTTTTTAAGTGGGAGAACTTGCACAATTGGTGGCTGACTAAATACTTTTTTTCCCCACTGTAGGTGTTCCTTTTGTCCAGGTGGGAAAGGGCAGTGTAGAGTGCGATTGAGATTGTGTCATCTGTGGATCTGTTGGGGCGGTATGCAAATTGGAGTGGGTCTAGGGTTTCCGGGATGATGGTGTTGAAGTGAGTGATGACCAGCCTTTCAAAGCACTTCATGGCTACCGACGTGAGTGCTACGGGGAGGTAGTCATTTAGGCAGGTTACCTTCACTTTCTTGGTCACAGGTACTATGGTGGTCTGCTTGAAACATGTAGGTATTACAGACTCGGCCATGGAGAGGTTGAAAATGTCAGTGAAGACACTTGCCAGCTGGTCCGCGCATGCTCTGAGGACACGTCCTGGTAATCCGTCTGGCTCCACGGCCTTGTGAATGTTGACCTGTTTAAAGGTCTTGCTTACATCGGCTACGGAGAGCGTGATCACACAGTCGTTTGAACAGCTGGTGCTCTCATGCATGCTTCAGTGTTGCTTGCCTTGAAGCGAGCATAAAAGGCATTTAGCTCCATGGTAGGCTCGCTTCACTGGGCAGCTCGCGGCTGGGTTTCCCTTTGTAGTCCACAATAGTTTCTAAGCCCTGCCACATCCGACGAGCGTCAGAGCCGGTGTAGTACGATTCAATCTTAGTCCTTTATGGGGTATTGTGTGTAGATTGCTGTAATCAATTTTAGAATAAGGCTGTAACGTAACAAAATGTGGAAAAACTCAAGGGGTCTGAATACTTTCCGAAGGCACTGTATAGGGAATAGGGTGCCATTTGGGACCCAGTCAAGGAAGCCAGAAGCCACAGTCAAGGAAGCCACAGGACTCTGCAGGATTCTGTTGTTTCCACAACAAGCCTGAAAGGCTGAGTAGGTCTGGAAGCTTCTCTCTCTCTCTCTCTCTCTCTCTCTCTCTCTCTCTCTCTCTCTCTCTCTCTCTCTCTCTCTCTCTCTCTCTCTCTCTCTCTCTCTCTCTCTCTCTCTCTCTCTCTCTCTCTCTCTCTCTCTCTCTCTCTCTCTCTCTCTCTCCCCCCACTAAAACAATGTTGCCTTGGTCTTGCACGCATTCCTCCCCACACAAGAAGGCGTGGGAGAAAAAAAAGTAAAACGAATGGGCTGAAAAACTTTTATTTAAAAGGTATTAATCGTGGTGGCTATTCTTAGACTATTTCAGACCACCAGTGTCTTAAAGGGGAAGTGGGTGCTTGTTACCGTCATAAGTGCAGCAGGAATTGAACCCACAATTCTGTCATTGCATGCCCCATGCTCTACCAACTGAGTCACAGACATACACATGCATGTGCTGGCTTTCTCTATGTTGTATTACATGGGAGGCTGGTTGACCCATGACACTTAGAAGTGTTTGTATGAAAGGTAAAAGGAAACGGACGGCTCTTGCCAGCATGCCCGAATGCCTTCTTGTTAACAGTGTGTGTCAGGCTTGCTTTTGGAGGACGTGAATGTATAAAACATTTTCACCATACAAAACATCATCAATAAAAAATGCCGGACCTGGTTAGCATGAACTTTTATTCAAACACCCTCTCTCGTCCAATAACAACTCTCTATCATCCAATCACAGCGGAGCCCCTGGTGAGGCAGGTGAAGAAGACGCGCATCAAGAGGGATGACTTCCACATCTTGAAGGTGATTGGTCGAGGGACCTTCAGTGAGGTGAGAGGACACCGCCGAAGGTCAAGGTGCACATTGGACAATTGAATCTTGTCTCCGTGGTGACATGTTTGTGTTGCTGTATTTATAGGTGGCTGTGGCGAGGATGCGTAGCACACAGCAAGTGTACGCCCTGAAGGTTATGAATAAGTGGGACATGCTGAAGCGAGGAGAGGTAAATATAAACACACATACACACAGGAACTTTTTAGTATACTGCATTCTCCCTATTCACATAACGGATACATTTTGTGTTAGCACCGACTTCCTTCCTTTGTGGCTTCTCGCTTCTACTGTAAAACATAATGTGACGTCATCCCTTCTACCTGTGTTGCGTTTCTGTGTGTCTGTATGTGTGTCCTGTAGACAGCTTGTTACCAGGAGGAGAGAGAGGTTCTGCTGAAGGGTGATCGACGCTGGATCACTGAGCTGCACTATGCCTTCCAGGATGACAATTACCTGGTGGGTATCAGTAACAAACTCTCAGTACCAGGGTCACTTCGACCTTCAAGTCTGACACTGCAGTCTACCTTGTGTGTTTCAGTGGCAGATTCTTGTCTGTTCTGTTCATCAGTGTCACTTTAGGGATAACCCCTGTCTAGTTTGACTGAAGCGTAAATGTGTAAATGTAGCTTCCCTCAGTTTCTTTCCCTTAAAATACACCAAGGAAAAATGAATGAATTTCTCTTTCACTCTCTTTACTTTCCACCTTCACTGGCACTATCGCTCCCCTTTCACAATCTCTCTCTCTCTCTCTCTCTCTCTCTCTCTCTCTCTCTCTCTCTCTCTCTCTCTCTCTCTCTCTCAGTACCTTGTGATGGACTACTATGTGGGTGGTGACCTGTTGACCCTGCTCAGTAAGTTTGGCGACCGTATCCCTGAGGACATGGCGCAGTTCTACCTGGCTGAGATGGTCATGGCCATCGACTCCATCCACAGGATGGGCTATGTGCACAGGTTAGTTAGTCAGAGACACCCGGAAAGACGACAACATCCAGCAAACCATTTGTGGTGTTCCTAGAATGCCCCCCTAAAGTTCTGAAAACAATGCCCCCCTAAAGTTCTTCTGTTTCTAGAAGGAATGTTCTCAGAACACTCAGACTATTTACATAAGAAGGAATTCCCCTTGACCACGCCCACAAATTGGGGAAAACAATCATTATTTCGCAATGCTCCCACGTAGGGAAACAGAGCCTGCGAGAAGAGCCCTGTGGCTTCAGGGTATTCAGTGTGTAAGAGTCGGAAATTGTGGGGACCCGGTGTTCAAGTAGGCTAGACGTAGCTATGTGTGTGGAAAACATTTCATGACAGGTAAGACAATTAACTTGTGTAATATAGTCTGTTTGTAACTCCACTCACTACTTGAAGCATTATAGTCCGTTTTTTTTGTGTTGTTGGTCTTGGCTAGCTTAATGATGTTCTGGTTGGTAGCTAGCTGTACTTTTCTTAAATGTAGGTTTGTAATTGACTTAAAAAAGCAGACAACAAGAAAATTGTGTTTGAAAAAGGTTACGTTTTTCTTTGTGAGCCAATGGGGTAACCAAGGTAACCACAGGTTGTTTTCCCCACAGGTGGGCGGGGCCGTACGTCTATTTAATACCGACTGGGACTATTGTTCCTTACTTTGGAACACCTACAAGGGAAGTTCCGAGAACATTGTTGACTCTAGAATGGATGAATATATAAGCATACAATAACTTGCATTTGTTTTTTAGTGTGGACCGTCTACTGCATCTGATGGTTTAATTTTGTTCCATGCACCGCAAATGAGTGCAGGGTTCCAAGAACCATGGCAACATTAGCTATGAAATCCCATATAGATGGCCTGGGAACGGGAAGACCGTTGAAAGCACATAGACAGATTGGCATCCTTCACTCTCCCTTCTGCAGGGACATCAAACCTGACAACATCCTGCTGACGGCAGATGGCCACGTCAGGCTGGGGGACTTTGGTTCCTGTCAGAGGGTCCAGGAGGATGGCATGGTGAGAGGCCCCAAAGGGCCACAAAACGCTCACAATTCACTCCACTGTTAACAATATTGCCGTGCAAAAGTTACAGACTGGGTATAGAACCTGGGTCTACTGTCACAACCCACTGGGCACACCACGTCATTTCAACATGGATAATTGGGCATTTCGTTGAGACGTTGATCAATGAGATTACAACCTATATTCACCCACTCAAAAAGACAACTAAAAGCTTGTTGAATTTCCAATGTTTTATCACTATGCTTTCAACCATCTAAAAGCACAACCAAATTCCAATGGAAAAACAATGTCTAATTTTTGGTTTAGTTGTCACCCAAATGTCTATCACTGCGCTTTCAACCATTTCAAAGCACAGCAATGTTCAAATGGGAATACAATGTCAAATTGTTTATTTATTCAACAGATTGTGTTGTCACTGTGCTTCATCTACTAGCAGAACCAAAATGACCTGGATTGCAGTTGAGATTACGTTAAAAGTACACGATCAATGCCAGCCATCAATGCCGTTTGAGATTCCATGCATTACAAAAGTAATATTGAATTGTGTTTGGTTGACAATGCAACCAAATATTAACATTTAAAGGAAATGTATCTAGTGCTTGGATAATTCCATCTGAGCCAACGGCTTAATCCCATTCTTTAATTTACATTTTTGGTTGAGTTGGAGATGTGACATTTTGTCGAGCAAAACTTTTTGTGGAAGGTACTACACTGCGTACAGACCCCAGGCACTCAACGTTGTCAACATAAAGTACATCGTGTTTCCTTGTAGGCCTATTTGTTGGGCAAACTGTGAAGCCAGTTGTTGCCCATTGCCTGTTTATATTTATGAGAATGTGAAACAATGTTGTGTCTGTTTGCTGCTTTTCATTAAATCATGTCGCTGTTCTTTAGTCTATTCTTCATATGGGCAGAATATTAAGCCTATATTTTGTAGCACAGGATAACGAATTTATGAAAATAAACAATTCACGTGAAAATATTTGGATCTGGTAAAAGGCCGACATTTGGTCATTTCAACTGAAAAAAGACTCTTTGTCACATGACAATAGAATTGGAAACATTGTGATTTTAGAGACACAAAGTAACGATAGCCTCTATGATTAAGAGGCTATCTGTTACTGGGCTCTCACCATCATCATTTTCATTATTTACATCATTCAAATTTACCAAATCATTTTGTTTACTAGGCTACTCATTTGTTGTCATTAAATGTCCTGAATAATAGAAAGTAAAAAACTATTGGGTGTTCGCGCAATAGCCTAGGCTATCCTACACAATTACGCACAGTACCTCGGTGTCCAATCCGATGCACAGAAACATATGAAACCATTAACTCATTGCCTTCATGCTTTCTCTGTTAAATCTTCTAGACCCTGCTGTAAATCAAGCAGAAAATAGCAGATAATCAACATAAATGTATGGGTATTGGATTGGATCCAACATGGATCACAACTTCACTGGCGCCACAAATGAGACATCAACATATTCTGGCCAGCGTTTTCCCACACTGGCTGTTTTTGTATCCCTTGCTATAGCACAACAGTTGTTTGTCACTTTACTGGATCAGCTGATGATGGTCGACAATATCACTAGGCCTAACTAAACAGCTGGATACCAAACATGCATCCAACAAGTAGGTCTATTAGCCTACACATAGCCTATTGAAGAACCATGCAAGTTAGGTGACTCTTTCGGTAAGAAGCATTCGATTTTGCAATTGCACACATCATTTTGAATTTGTGTGCCCATAAAAACTGTTTTAATGGCGTAGCTTAAAACATCAAGAAGAACATTTGATAAAGCTGTGCTGCCGTTAATAGTGCACCATCTCATAGACGCAGCAAGACTTTCGTCCCACGTTTTTTAATTAATTAATTAATGTATTAGTAGGCTTATGGATTACATTTTCAAGTTATTCGCCCAACCCTGTTTTATTTATTCTGTATAAAAGGAATGCAACAAATGCAGCATGTTTTTATTTATTTATTTTAAACAATATTCTGCCCATATGAATGAATTTATGTACAATATTCTGCCCATATGAACAAATGTATATACAATATTCTGCCCATATGAACAAATGTATTTTAGGGCATAAGTGAACCTATATATGAGAGCCTTCAGACAGGTTTAAATGAGTTTACCCACTAATGTATTAGTAGGCTTATGGATTACATTTTCAAGTTATTCGCCCAACCCTGTTTTATTTATTCTGTCTAAAAGGAAGGCAACGAATGCAGCACTTTTTTTTTTATTTAGACCCTGTTCTATACAATATTCTGCCATATGAACCAATTTACCACCAGCCAGCCGTCGTTGCCCAGCCAATCGCGTACACGTATTATACCCCAGCAAATCGCGCACACAGACGAAAGAGTCACCGACAAAGGAGTTCGCTTCTGCTGCAGCCTTCTCTGTAAAATATAACGCGGTGCTTCGGAATCCAACATATCATTTATTTACTTGTCGACAAGTTAAAGGGGATCATCACCCGCTGATTTGGCCTTGTTTTTTGGCTTGCTCTTCATGAAATGCAGGCGTCCATGACAGAAGCCAAATGTGAGTTGACTTGGGGGTGTGGTTTGATGTGGGTGTTTCTTGGGTGTGTCCTTGCCACACACCCATCTGTCAGAACCTTGCCTGCAGCTGTTTCCCACTCAATCACAACAAACTAACCTACAGGCAGATGTATGTTGAGCCGGAGGAGCCTTTGAATAGGTCAGTAGCCTACAGAGTAATATGAGAAGAATGCAATTGCTGAATTTATGTAGATATTATTCTAAACTAAGTGTTTTGATGACTTTCAAATGGAGTAACAGGTCAATGTAGAATAAACAACCCTTTACATAATACCATAGAAGCAGTGTTCTGCTAGTTTAACGATGTCCACCTTTCACCTTTCATTGTCATTCCCAGCCAATACAGATACTGTGCCTATCTGCATTTTGTCTGGTGGTAATGGGGCTACCTTGGCAAACATGTCAGAGTGGTCATACCTTCCTGTTTGGTGTCCCGTATACAACAGGAGTTCCCTGATCCTGGTGCAGAATACACAGGGTTTCTCCCTCTCCATATTGACTGATACCATTCAATTCAATAAAAAAGACAATACAATTAATAGTTATGTCTAGTAACATTTTAATGCTTTGTGCCAGGTCTCTCTCCATTTAGAGACATCAGTATCAAGCCTGTCTGTCAGCCTGGACTTCATCACATCATCTTGCAAGTCTCCATTTGTTGGCTCCATACGTGTGTCTGTGAACACACACACATAGTCACTGTTCTATTACCAATGGCAGTTAGGATAGGTAATATCTGACACACAAACCGGTACTATGTTGAAGTTTGAACAGGTCAGATAAAACCTACCCAATGATGGTTTCCCCATCAAACGGTCAAAGCTGGCGTCTGGCAAAAGCATCTACAGTCCTCTCCATCTGTAGAAATAGTCAGAGTAGAGGCAGAGCTCACCAGTGACCCATGGAATGAAAAGGGTGTTGCAAATACTGGACATTTCTGCTGTACTGTATTATTAGTAATCCCCTTCAGTCCCACGTTGTGGATGTGTTGAGTGCCAGGTCTCTCTCCATTCAGAAACGTCAGTATCAAGCCTGTCTATCGGTCAGGACTCCATCACATCATCTTGCAAGTCTCCAAGTGCTGGCTTGATAGATGCATCTATGAACACATACACAGTCACTGTTCTATTACCAATGGCAGTTAGGATAGGTGATATATGACAAACATATACAGTGAGGGAAAAAAGTATTTGATCCCCTGCTGATTTTGTACATTTGCCCACTGACAAAGAAATGATCAGTCTATAATTGTAATGGTAGGTTTATTTGAACAGTGAGAGACAGAATAACAACAACAAAATCCAGAAAAACGCATGTCAAAAATGTTATAAATTGATTTGCATTTTAATGAGGGAAATAAGTATTTGACCCCCTCTCAATCAGAAAGATTTCTGGCTCCCAGGTGTCTTTTATACAGGTAACGAGCTGAGATTAGGAGCCCACTCTTAAAGGGAGTGCTCCTAATCTCAGTTTGTTACCTGTATAAAAGACACCTGTCCACAGAAGCAATCAATCAATCAGATTCCAAACTCTCCACCATGGCCAAGACCAAAGAGCTCTCCAAGGATGTCAGGGACAAGATTGTAGACCTACACAAGGCTGGAATGGGCTACAAGACCATCGGCAAGCAGCTTGGTGAGAAGGTGACAACAGTTGGTGCGATTATTCGCAAATGGAAGAAACAGAAAATAACTGTCAATCTCCCTCGGCCTGGGGCTCCATGCAAGATCTCACCTCGTGGAGTTGCAATGATCATGAGAACGGTGAGGAATCAGCCCAGAACTACACAGGAGGATATTGTCAATGATCCCAAGGCAGCTGGGACCATAGTCACCAAGAAAACAATTGGTAACACACTACGCCGTGAAGGACTGAAATCCTGCAGCGCCCGCAAGGTCCCCCTGCTCAAGAAAGCACATATACAGGGCCGTCTGAAGTTTGCCAATGAACATCTGAATGATTCAGAGGAGAACTGGGTGAAAGTATTGTGGTCAGATGAGACCAAAATCGAGCTCTTTGGCATCAACTCAACTCGCCGTGTTTGGAGGAGGAGGAATGCTGCCTATGACTCCAAGAACACCATCCCCACCGTCAAACATGGAGGTGGAAACATTATGCTTTGTAATAAAAGACACCTGTCCACAACCTCAAACAGTCACACTCCAAACTCCACTGTGGCCAAGACCAAAGTGCTGTCAAAGGACACCAGAAACAAAATTGTAGACCTGCACCAGGCTGGGAAGACTGAATCTGCAATAGGTAAGCAGCTTGGTTTGAAGAAATCAACTGTGGGAGCAATTGTTAGGAAATGGAAGACATACAAGACCACTGATAATATCCCTCGATATGGGGCTCCACGCAAGATCTCACCCCGTGGGGTCAAAATGATCACAAGAACGGTGAGCAAAAATCCCAGAACCACAAGGGGGGACCTAGTGAATGACCTGCAGAGAGCTGGGACCAAAGTAACAAAGCCTACCATCAGTAACACACTACGCCGCCAGGGACTCAAATCCTGCAGTGCCAGTCGTGTCCCCCTGCTTAAGCCAGTACATGTCCAGGCCCGTCTGAAGTTTGCTAGAGTGCATTTGGATGATCCAGAAGAGGATTGGGAGAATGTCATATGGTCAGATGAAACCAAAATAGAACATTTTGGTAAAAACTCAACTCGTCGTGTTTGGAGGACAAAGAATGCTGAGTTGCATCCAAAGAACACCATACCTACTGTGAAGCATGGGGGTGGAAACATCATGCTTTGGGGCTGTTTTTCTGCAAAGGGACCAGGACGATTGATCTGTGTAAAGGAAAGAATGAATGGGGCCATGTATCGTGAGATTTTGAGTGAAAACCTCCTTCCATCAGCAAGGGCATTGAAGATGAAACGTGGCTGGGTCTTTCAGCATGACAATGATCCCAAACACACTGCCCGGGCAACGAAGGAGTGGCTTCGTAAGAAGCATTTCAAGGTCCTGGAGTGGCCTAGCCAGTCTCCAGATCTCAACCCCATAGAAAATCTTTGGAGGGAGTTGAAAGTCTGTGTTGCCCAGCGACAGCCTCAAAACATCACTGCTCTAGAGGAGATCTACATGGAGGAATGGGCCAAAATACCAGCAACAGTGTGTGAAAACCTTGTGAAGACTTACAGAAAACGTTTGACCTGTGTCATTGCCAACAAAGGGTATATAACAAAGTATTGAGAAACTTTTGTTATTGATCAAATACTTATTTTCCACCATAATTTGCAAATAAATTCATTAAAAATCCTACAATGTGATTTTCTGGATTTTCTTTCTCATTTTGTCTGTTATAGTTGACGTATACCTATGATGAAAATTACAGGCCTCTCTCATCTTTTTAAGTGAGAGAACTTGCACAATTGGTGGCTGACTAAATACTTTTTTTCCCCACTGTACTTTCTCATTTTATGAGGTGGTATTGACTGAGAGGTCCTGTGACAGGTTGATACAATAGACAGCCAAGTGGTAAATTGCATTTTGTTATAAAGAAAGGACAACGGCTTTTGATAATGCACTTCACATCCAAAATGATTCTACCCACTAAACATTTGACGTCTTTTTGACATATTTTTCAGGTCCTCCGTCTTTTGGGGTATTTCTTTGGTCCGATCCGGACCAAATCTGAACCAATCATAAACGTCCACAGACGTCAGACCGGCCTTGAATTTAGCTCAAAAATAGAAGTCTATAATTGGTTCAGATTTGGTCCGGTCTGGGACATCTATGGTCACAAGTTTGGACAGCACAGTACAGCACAATACAGTAGAGCACAGCAGAGTACAGTACATTACAGTACACAGTACAGTAAAGAAAAAGTGGAGTATAGTACAGTAGAGTTAAGTACAGTACAATACAATAGAGCACAGTAGAGCACAGTAAAGTAAAGAAAAGTAAAGCATAGTGTACTGTATTTTACCCTACTTTACTCTAATGTACTCTACTCTACTGAATTAAACTCTACTGTACTGTACTCCACTGAATAAAACTCTACTGTCATGTACCATACCATACTGTAATGTACTCTTCTGTGTTCTACTGAGCTCTACTGTACTAAACTGTGCCGTACTGTACTGTGTTCAAACTTCTGAAACATTAGCTAGACGTCTATGATTCGTTCAGATTTGGATCTGGGCCTCACCGACCAAATGTGTACTTGTTTCGGGGCGGAGCTCATTAGAATAATACACAGCATGCTTTGCACCCAAAAAAAAATAGGGTCTGACCCCATTCAGTCGACTGGTCGATTGTTTGGTTTATAGGCTGTATTGGACACGTTGTTTGCAGAGCGCACAACCTAGGCTACACTTGTGAGAATTTTTTTTCTGTTTATTTCATTCCATTTATGAGTTGTGAATTTATTCATTGTCTTCTTCAGTAAGAACACGCACCTGATTACGCATAGAAGTAGGCCTAGGCTACCTGGCCTGCTCGTAAATGTAGGCCAATAAATGTGCCCATTTGGGTATCTGATACTATTTCTGATTGTCTTATCTCACCATCACTGTGTAGCTTTTCAAACTAATTTTGTCTTTGCCTCAAACAGCAAGTAAACAAAGTCTGTTTTTTCATCCATTGAGAATGAAAATAGTTCCCCAACAGCCTATTTGTAAAAATCTTTCCAGCTCTCTCCTTTTTGATAACCACTCAGCATGTAATGCTCTGATCCAGTGGAAACGCCATAAAATAGGCCTACCTGATTACTTCTTATCCTTTGTGCAAATATTCTACAGCTGTATCTGTCTGGAGCGCAGGAAACTCTGTATTAAATATTTTATACAATGTTGCAAGTTTGCTAGCATGATCGGGCTGGGCCAAGTTCATAGTTGATATAATGTTTCAAGTTCCTTGCAGACAGGCCATGCGTAGCCAATGTGATTTCTAGAATATTTATTTGTATCAGGATATTTTCTACCTGCAGGATGCAATGTTTTTATTTGTTGGTTTATGAAGGCTATTTTTACATATTTGCAATTGCAATGGAAGTTATTTTTAGATGTGTATCATTTTCATTTAGAATTTTGATTAACCACATAACATTGATTTTGAAATATGAATACTTTATTATTAATGAAATGTTCCACAAAATGTGCATATGAAAATAATAACTGGCATGCATATCAATATAAATGGTACGATAACTTGGCACTCCAAATGGAAAAGTTTGCCTACAGCTGGTGTACCCTATTACCGGCAACTTTAGGAGCCTAATGGCGGAATCAAACTATAAATGCACTTTAAATAAAGTTTGATTTGATTTAGATCTATTCTTTGATTTAGATTTTTGGTTGAGATGAAGATGTGAATCCAAACTATCAATTAGTCATTTGTAGACAAACTGGAATTAAAGCCAGACCAAGTCAGTGGCACATATGAAACTATCCAAGCAGAAGATACATCTCTTTCAAATGTTCATATTTGGTTGCGTTGACAATTAAACATAATTCAATATCACAAAAAATTATTACATTTGAAATCAACCAGAGCTTGAAAACCTAGGCCTATGTATTTTAAATGTTTTGTTGAATCCTGGATTGAATTGAAACTATAGCTGTTGATGACTTCAATAGCAACTGTGAATCAATTTCATTTTTAAGTGGAGGTCTCTCAACAATCATTCTCACGATGGCACATTGGTAATAGTCAGAGACAAATATCATAGCTAAGCAGAGCAGGGCTGGGCTTGGTTAAAACCCTGGAAGGGAGACCAAATCGTAGCTGTAGATACACTACATGACCAAAAGTGTGTGGACACCTGCTCGTCGAACATCTCATTTCAAAATCATTGGCATTAATATGGAGTTGGTCCCCCCTTTGCTGCTATAAAAGCCTCCACTCTTCTGGGAAGGCTTTCCACTAGATGTTGGAACATTGCTGCGGGGACTTGCTTCCATTCAGCCACAAGAGCTGTAGTGAGGTCGGCCATTGATGTTGGGAGATTAGGCCTGGCTCGCAGTCGGTGTTCCAATTTATCCCAATGGTGTTCGATGGGGTTGAGGTCAGGGCTTTGTGCAGGCCAGTCAAGTTCTTCTACACCGATCTCGACAAACCATTTCTGTACAGACCTGGCTTTGTGCACGGGGCATTGTCATGCTGAAACAGGAAAGGGCCTTCCCCAAACTGTTGCCACAAAGTTGGAAGCACAGAATCGTCTAGAATGTCATTGAATGCTGTAGCATTAAGATTTCCCTTCACTGGAACTATGGGGACTAGCCCGAACCATGAAAAACAGCCCCAGACCATTATTCCTCCTCTACCAAACTTTACAGTTGGCACTATGCATTGGGGCAGGTAGCGTTCTCCTGGCATCCACCAAACCCAGATTCGTCCATCGGACTGCCAGATGATGAAGCGTGATTCATCACTCCAGAGAACGCGTTTCCACTGCTCCAGAGTCTAATGGCGGCGAGCTTTACACCACTCCAGCTTGGCATTGCGCATGGTGATCTTAGGCTCGGCCATGGAAACCCATTTCATGATGCTCCCAATGAATGGTTATTGTGCTGACGTTGCTTCCAGAGGCAGAACTCGGTAGTGAGTGTTGCAACCGAGGACAGACGATTTATACGCGCTATGCGCTTCAGCACTCGGCGGTCCCGTTCTGTGAGCTTGTGTGGCCCACCACTTCGCGGCTGAGCCGTTGTTGCTCCTACACATTTCCACTTCACAATAACAGCACTTACAGTTGACCGGGGCAGCTCTAGCAACAATGTTGATTCAACCAGTTCGTGCCCAGTGGGAAGGCTGTGTTAGCCCTCTGAGCTAAAGCCAAGGCTCAGGGAGCTAACACAAGTCTTTAGGGCACAGGTAGGGTTACTCATTCACCAAACCATCTTGGTGACACAAAGGTATACTCCTCTGTGTGTTATAGTGTGACAGTGTGCGACTTCTGTTGCTACTAATGTGTTAGAACTACTACTTTCAGTGAGGGAATGAATTTTTATCTTAAACACATTTTATTCTAGGTAGCTAGTTATGTATAGGTAGCTATCAAGTAAACATAGCTTTTACATGTTTTACTTAAATTACATGTAGTTCTCTTCAGCTATTTTTTTCTGACTCAATGCATTGATGTGAATCACTGAACAACCACTAAATACAGCAGATGTACTTGTCTATTGATCCTCTCTTCTATAATGTGAACGTGTTGCATCCCAAGGATAGAATCATACTTTTGTTAATGCATTTGTGTGTGTTGACATGTCACTGTATTTGCAGGTGCACTCGTCCCTGGCGGTAGGCACACCCGACTACCTGTCCCCAGAGATCCTGCGTGCAGTGGAGGGAGGGGGAGGCTATGGCCTTGAGTGTGACTGGTGGGCTCTAGGGATCTGTGCTTACGAGATGCTGCAGGGGACCACACCCTTCTACGCAGAGTCCATCTCTGAGACCTACGCCAAGATCATGAACTTCCAGGTAAGATGGTGACTGAGAGAAACACATTTTACAGATTGATCAGGAGAACATGTTGAGGGTCATCAGAAAATGTACATACAGTACCAGTCAAAAGTTTGGACACCTACTCATTCAAGGGTTTTTCTTTATTTTTACTATTTTCTACATTGTAGAATAATAGTGAAGACATCAACACTAATCCATAACACATATGGAATCATGTAGAAACCAAAAAAGTGTTAAACAAATCAAATTATATGTTATTTTTTAGATTCTTCAAAGTAGCCACCCTTTGCCTTGATGACAGCTTTGCACACCCTTGGCATTCTCTCAACCAGATTCATGAGGAATGATTTTCCAACAGTCTTGAAAGAGTTCCCACATATGCTGAGCACATGTTGGCTGCTTTTCCTTCACTCTGCGGTCCAACTCATCCCAAACCATCTCAATTGGGTTGAGGCCAGATCATCTGATGCAGCACTCCATCACTCTCCTTCTTGGTCAAATTGCCCTAACAGCCTGGAGGTGTGTTTTGGGTTATTGTCTCTTCTTCTTATTGGTGTCCTTTAGTAGTGGTTTCTTTGCAGCAATTCAACCATGAAGGCCTGATTCAAACAGTCTCCTCTTGATTTGTTTAACACTTTTTTGGTTACTACATGATTCCATATGTGTTATTTCATAGTTTTGACTGGTACTGTACATATCGGTGCCAAGAGTGGTGGGAGATCTGAGGAGGAAGGGATGTCTAAAAAGAGCTAATATTCAATAGGACTCAATCCCAAATCGACCCCTAAACCCTACAACTTATGCACTTGTGGAGATCTTAGATAATTTGATTAGTATAAGCAACATTGTGAAACTTCCACCTAGCTTCCACCTATCAGAGGGCAAGGTAGAGCTATTACGATATTGCTTACACCTGTCAAATCTACATTTACATTTACATTTTAGTCATTTAGCAGACGCTCTTATCCAGAGCGACTTACAGTTAGTGAATACATATTTTTTTATACTGGCCCCCCATGGGAAACGAACCCACAACCCTGGCGTTGCAAACGCCATGCTCTATCAACTGAGCTACATCCCTGCCGGCCATTCCCTCCCCTACCCTGGACGACGCTGGGCCAATTGTGCGCCGCCCATGAGTCTCCCGGTCGCGGCCGGCTGCGACAGAGCCTGGATTCGAACCAGGATCTCTAGTGGCACAGTTAGCACTGCGATGCAGTGCCTTAGACCACTGCGCCACATATCTAATCAGATCTTCACAAGTGCATAGGACGTAGGGTGTAGAAGTCGATTTGGGATTGGGCCTTTGTAACCATTTTCTTATACATCTGCAAAGACTGCAAAAAGGTATATATTGAGCTCAAACCTAAAGAATTGTGAAGAAGAGCTGCAAACTTGAACTAAGAGGAACCAACCATTATGTCCCTCCAGGAGCACTTCGAGTTCCCCCCGTCTGGCCCCAAGGTTTCAAACAAGGCCCGTTCCCTCATCATGGGGCTGATCTGCGAGAGGGAGGATCGTATGGGGGTTGGGGGCTCTGGGGACTTCAGGAGCCACCCTTTCTTCTGTGGACTAGATTGGGGCTCCCTGCATGAACTTCCAGCACCCTTCGAACCTGAAGTCTCCAACGCCACTGACACCTCCAACTTTGACGTGTTGGACGACTGCCTCAGTGAAATGGTTTTAATCCGAAAAGCCTATTTATAATCTATATACAATCAATTCAAATGTAAAGGGAACCAATATAGAGCGACTCCCATAGAATATGACATGGCTCCAGAAGCAAGCCTGGAAAGCAAAAAAAGTAGAAAACGTATACTGGTAATTCCATGCCAGCATAGGCAGAAAATATTTTTGGTATCTCAGATTGTTCTGGCAATTTTCACATAGAATATTAATGGGGAGGAAGGATGTTTGACATGCTTTTTACATTTGTATCACAAACCCTTTTTGAGGAAATCACGATGAAAGTGGCCATTTTAGGCCCTTTTTAGACCGATACATGCCTCCTGTAAGATCCTATGATCTGTGAACCGTACATGATACAGACAACATCTTGGTGTCATTATACTCCTTATAGGGCCCTCTAAAATATAGAGTATGTGTAGATTCAGGAGAAAAGAAATGCACATTAATTTATTAAACATAAAAATATTACTATTAATCTCACAAGTACCCTTTTTGATTTTGCTTATTTTTAAACATATTGTTATTACTCTTCAAACACGTCAAATTTCCACAGTGGGCTCTCTGGTACTTTTAAAGATATGACCCATTTTATATACATAATAGACAATAACATGCAACAATTTCAATGATTTTACTGAGTTACAGTTCATATAAGGAAAACAGTCAATTGAAATAAATTCCTTAGGCCCTAATCTACGGATTTTACATGACTGGGCAGGGGCGCAGCCATGGGTGGGCCTGGTAGGGCATAGGCCCACCAAGTGGCCCACCCACTTGGGAGCCAAGCCCACCCACTGGGGAGCCAGGCCCAGCCAATCAGAATGAGTTTTTCCCCACAAAAAGGCTTTATTAGAGACAGAAACACTCCTCAGTTTCATCAGCTCTCCGGGTGGCTGGTCTCAGACGATCCCGCAGGTGAAGAAGCCGGATGTGGAGGTCCTGGGCTGGCGTTTTTACACGTGGTCTCCGGTTGTGAGGCCAGTTGGACGTACTGCCACATTCTCTAAAACGACATTGAAGGCAGCTTATGGTAGAGAAATGAACATTCTCTGGCAACAGCTCTGGTGGACATTCCTGCAGTCAGCATGCCAATTGCACGCTCCCTACAAACTTGAGACATCTGTGGCATTGTGTTGTGTGACATAACTGCACATTTTAGAGTGGCCTTTTATTGTCCCCAGCAGAAGGTGCACCTGTGTAATGATCATGCTGTTTAATAAGCTTCTTGATATGCCACACCTGTCAGGTGGATGGATGATCTTGGCAAATAAGAAATTCTCACTAACAGGGATGTAAACAAATTTGTGCACAACATTTGAGAGAAATAAGCCTTTGTGCATATGGAACATTTCTGGGATCTTTTATTTCAGCTCATGAAACATGGGACCAAAACTTTACATTTTATAGTTTTGTTCAGTATACATGGGAATGGACATTATACAGTAGGTCATTAACCAATCACAGCACTCCTTTAGGATTGCACATTCAGCAAATCACCAGCAGAGGGAGTTCCCTTTGAAAACATTTACCATTTGCTGTGTTTGTGGTGTTCATAAAATGTATCAGAACTTCAAAATCAGCAGAGAACCGACCCTGGAAAATCTAAAAGGGTACTTTTGAGATATTTTTAATTGTTGAATAAATTAGTGTGAAAATGTGTATTTCAGAATCTAGACATACTCCATATGTTAGAGCAGGGTTTTCCAAACTCGGTCCTGGGGCCCCGCCTGGGTGCATGTTTTGGTTTTTGCCCTGGCACTCCATAGCTGATAAAAATAATCAAAGCTTGATGATGAGTTGGTTATTTGAATCAGCTGTATAGTGCTAAGGCAAAAACCAAAACGTGCACCCAGGGGGGGCCCCAGGACCGAGTTTGGGCACATTATAAAGAGTATAATGACGCCAAGATGTTGTCTGTATCATGTACTGTTCACAGATCAGTCTTACAGGAGGCATGTATAGGTCTTAAAAGTGCCTTAAATTGTTTGTGATACAAATGTATAAAAGCATGTCAAACATCCTTCCTCCCAATGAAGTTTCTATTTGAGAATTGCCATTACAATCTGAGATACCAAAAATATTATCCATCTGCGCTGGCATGGAATCGGCCATACCTGACATGCATATAAAGCACACTAGATGTAATGCTGTCTTTTGTCCTGCAGGAAACACTGAGTGACGTGATGGACAGGGCCCCTATCGGTGTTCACCTGGCTTTTGTTGGCTACTCCTACACAGCTACAAGGTCACATTCATATCATAGACTGTCTCAGTATCAACGTCCTTCAAATGAATGGGGTATCATACAAAATGGTGTCAAAACAGTTAAGTTTTTTTCCGCCAATTGCTCAATCTCTTACAGACAGACAGGTGCCTTGGACCGCAGTTGTGACATCATGATGGAGATTGACCACCAGCGACATTTAGGGTTGCCAAGCCAAAATTTCCAGGACAAGCTGGTAGGTTGACTATCCACACTAGCGACTAGCTGAGTTGAGTTGTAATAGTCAGAACTAGACTAAATACTAACCACTAGCTAGGCTAGTTAAGACAATTTGAGTGGTCTCATGTAGCCGATGTGGAATCACTAGCTAGTTAGCTGTAGCTCTGTTACACATGTACATGTCAGTTTGTTTATGCTAACTGCTATAGTTAACCTCATCTCAAGTGTGTCAGTCAGCTGTGACACAAATGCTTAGCGCTTCTTGAGCTAGCGGCGTCTTGAATGTCTGATGTGTTCTGTGGCATGCATCAGAGAGTTAGGCATGCAAGAGATATTAACGGCTACTAGATTATGTTATTTTCAGGGAACTGATATGTTTACCTTTACCATGCCATGTATTTCTGACACTGAGGGTGGTGGTGCTTTCAGAGTCAGATGTGGCAGCTCAGAGACGCTCTGACATCGACTGACAACCTGCCTGCCCTGCTTGAGCTCCCCCTAGCATTGGAGCAGGGTACTGCAGAGTCCACTCACACCACGATAGAGGAGGAAGAGGTGGAGACAGACCAGAATTCAGGACTTGATGAGGACCTGCACAGGTTAGATCAACCCTGAGTGTGCACATACAGATAGACACACACACACACACACACACACACACACACACACACAGAGAGATACAGGTATGTACTGCTCTACTGCTAAAAATGGGTCTTGCTCACCTTTCCCTTCAGACTTGACAACTCTGACATCTAGGTAATGTACATGTATATTATATAGGTAGCCATAATGTAATGATGTCATTTGATATTTAGGTGAGTATTCATAGCCAATACCAGAGCACTTGTATTCAAAGCTGACCCTATCCACTCATCCCCATAGAAGGCTACAGGAGGCAGAGAAGAGGAATGGAGAGCTGGAGAAAGAGATGGAGAGACTGAGGGTGGAGATCGAGGGCCTGAAGTCCCCCAAGGAGACAGGCAAGGGAACTAGCACTCATCCCTCCTCATCTCCTCTTTAAAAAAATGAATACCTGAATCATTGCCTGTTCTATCATCCTTCCTTGGGTTTCTGTTCCATCCATTTGAGAGATCATTTTTAACTTTTGACCTGTGGCCTCTCTCGTCAAGTTCAGTAAGATAAGGTCTGGGTTGTGTTTATTAAGGCACACAACTGAAAAAGTTTTAAACCGCTTTGCAACGGAAAACTAAAATGAGCATTTCTTATTGGACACATCCAGCTAGTCCCTCCCTTTTTCAGTCAGTTTTCTTACATTTGATCCCTAATGAACACAACTCTTGTATTGTGTACAGCATTAACTCATCCTATAGACACCCCCACGGGGGGGGGCAGTATGATTTAAAAAAATAATAATAATAAATAAAAAATAATGTATGCACTCACTAACTGTAAGTCGCTTTGGATAAGAGCATCTGCTAAAATGAAAAAATTAAAAATAATAATTATATATATATATATATAGCATTTCTTCACTAGCAGCAGTGTGTAACATCTAGACTAATGTGAGATGGTAGGAATTCCAGACCATATGAGCCACATACTGTGAAAAAAGAGTGTTGCATAGCAGGAGCATAGCAGAAGCACCGAGCTCCATCTGCTTATGTTGGAACCCTTGGCCAGAACAAAACGATAAGTATCCCCTCTAAGAACAGGTCTGGTATGCAGCCGTTGGCCCTCCCTGACTATAAATCAAAACAGCATAATGAGCTTTTTAAATAAGCAGTGTTAGGGGGTCTCCCTCCTCTCCGGGGAAGGTTTCCAATGGATGGATGTCTGGTGGGGCATACCTTTGGTGGGGCAGGTGCTCAAAGTGGAATCCCCCCCCCCCCCCACACACACACACACACACAAACAAAAAGAGTTGACCTAATTCCATTTTTAAAAAATAGTTTTCTACTGCTCCCGTAGCCAAATTCTCCAATATTTTTCGTCCATCACATATTGTAGGCTAAGCAAGCTAGAACCACCACAGTAGCTCTCGAAAACTCTAGGCGGCATTCTGCCTTCTCCCTAGAGCTTTCAGCCATTAGCTTCGCCCACGACTACCTCATGTGAACTACAATCCCGACGCTGTGATTTAACATTTAGAAATGTCAATAATCATTGCTTGCGATACAACTTTCAAAACATATGGCCCTTATCTTTCATCAGCGAGAAAGAATCCTTCAAATAAAAAAGATACTTACTATAGCAGTTGTGCACAGATCCATACAGTTATGGGTGCCTCCATCCGAGGAAACTACACTTCTGCTACACTTCCTGAGTTACACTTACACACAGGTGTTCAGAGCATGCTAGATAGCTAATTAGCACAGGTGGTCGTCTCTTGTCTTCCGTAAACAAGCGCTGTAACATGGAGATATGGCCGTGTGGGAACACTAACCCTATCAAGTTGTGTATCAATTTAACCTTTTGTTTTTTGAAAATTATTTCTTGCTGATGTGAAAGATAACACAAAAACTCCCTCGTACAGAAGATGCCTTCATCCAATGACTCTTATCTGCAATGTAATGACATTGAGTGGGATGATCAAGGGCTAGAACCACAGATAAAAGCAAGTTAGTTTAAACTAAAGGATCTTTGCTAGAAACACTACCGAGGTGGGCTACATCAGCTGTAGCCCACCGATCATACCACTCAGTTCCATTACATTACACATAAGCGTCATTGGACAAAGGCGTCTTCTGTAAGGGGGAGTTTTGTTAAGAGCCCCGACGCTCAATCTGAACATTAGCACACGTCGCTTGCGGTACGGTTTTGGAAGCATAAGGACCTTATCTTTCATATCAGCAAGATATAATAATAATAGAAAAAAGTAAAGGTTAAATTGATACACGCCTTGATAGGGTTATGGTTTCCACACAGCCATATTTCCATGTTACAGCGCTTGTTTACGGAAAATAGACGGAAGGCAGAGTGGACTACCTGTGCTAATTGTAGCTGTCTGCGTCTCCGAACCCTGTGTGTAAACGGAAATTGACGCCACAAACGTCTTGTCACTGAAAAATACTGTCGGTTGCAACTGTGTTAAATCCGGTTAAAACAGTGTACTGTGCAGTAAGTGTGTAGTTTGCATTTGTGAAATTATTTTGATGTGATATGAAAGTAAAGGGGTTTATGTTCCTAGAATCGTACTGCAATTGAGAATCAATTCACGTTTAGATGGAGTATTTGGCTGTTTTGGCTTCCAGTGCCAAATCGCCTTTAAACAGAATATGTAAGGTCCTGGGACTATAAGGAGTAACATTAGGGTCCTTTACTCAATTATTGGGCTGCATCTGCTGATCATCGCGAATGTAGACTAGATGAATCAGCTTCCCTGTCCCTGACCATGAGACAACATATACTAGCAACTCCAAAGTAACCTACTACTGAAGATCACCGTGTGGGGGTGAATGGAGGTAGGATGAAAGAAGATGGCGGACAAGGAAAAAAGGAAGAAAGTGGGACATATTATGAATAAATATGGAGTGGGGGATTGCACAAGCCTTCTGAAAGATCTGTTGAAGGAGAAGATGGCAGATAAGTAAAAAAGGAGAAAAGTGGAATATGTTTTGAGGGAATATGGAATGGACGATCGCACAGAAATGTTAGAAGAGCTAGACAAGGAAAGTGAACGTGAAGAGTGTGAGGGGGAATTCATTGTGGTGGCAGGTGCAATGATGACCGCCGAGTGTCGAGGGAAACAGTGTGGTGAGGAAGGTTGGCGCCAAGTGCAAAAAGAGGGATACGTGCTCTAGTAGCTCAGAGATTGAACCTGCGGTGAGGACCGCAGGTGAGGACCGACTAGTTCAGGCCTCGTCACGAGGATGAAAAGGATGATTCTGGCCCAGTGGGAGTGAGAATTGTGGAGAGAATGGATCATTGCGTTTTGGCTGATCCATATGTGGTGTCAGGTTGGGTGGAGAAGAGGTTGGGGACTGTTGAGTTGTAACTCTGAGTGGAATAGTGATGATTTATTGTGTTCCAGAGGGGGGCGGGCGCTCCGGATCACACGATTAGGGAAAATACATTTGACCTGCTTTGCTTTCCGGAGCAGGGCGCCATTGAAAGGAGTGATAACTGGGGTGGCATTAAGTGTTGAGGAGGATCAGTTGAAATTGAAGATTCCCGGTATCTGTGACGCCCACCGTTTGGTGCGACGCAGAACCGGTGGAGAGAGTGGGGAAATGGAGAAGACATTGTCTGTCCTGCTGAGTTTTGATGTAGAGTCTTTGCCTGACAAGGTCAAGTTATGAAGTGTAAGTTATTTCCGTGAGAGCTTTTGTTCCGAAAATACTACAGTGTTTTAGGTGTCAAGTTTATGGGCATGTTGCAGCAGTGTGTAGGAAGGAGAGTCCTAGATGTGAGAAATGTGCTGGAGGGCATGAGACAAAGGAATGTGCAGTATCAGTGGAGATAGTGTGTGTTAGTTGTGGGGATGCCCATGGGACTGGAGATCGGAGGTGTCCAGTGAGAGAAAGGCAGGATGAGGTTGCCAGGGTTAGAGTAGTACAGAAAGTATTGTATGCCGAAGCAGTGGAGAGAGTAGAGGAAGATGGTTACAGGGTGAGGGATACTGAGAGGATTCCTGTAAGTAGGAAGACCAAGAGAGAGTGATGGGAAGAATATGTGATTCAGTAGGGTGGGCTTTTTAGCATTCATAGCCATGGTTGTCAATTGTACTGCAAAAATGGTCACAGAAAAATAGAGGTTGTGGTGGCAGCGGCTGAGAAGTACTTGGGATTGCGAGGATTTACTGCAGAACAGTTGCATGGGGTGTTGAGTGGTAGTTTTCTGTCCTGGCAGACCGTTGGTCTGGAGTAGGATTAGATAGGGTTAAATAGTGGAATGGGGTGTTGTTTTATTTTTTACTCAGGATGAGCCAGGCTCTTTTACGCCCTCTTCCGAATCGTAACTATAAATGCAGAGGTTGCGCACAGTGCAACAATATGATGAAGTGTGAATATTTATGCCACCAACATACAGGAAAACGGTTCCAAAAAAATGACATTATTACATGCTCCACCACCCAGGTTATCTACAAAAATGTCCATGTGTTATGTAGGTAAAAGCTCTCGTTCTCTCAAACAGAGAATTAGTGAACACAAAATCAGGAAAAACGACAGGGATTATCCAGTTGCAGTACATTTTAATGACCAAAAACATGACCTTTCTACCTTTAGATTTTGTGGCATAGAGAAAGTCAATATATCAGACAGGGGAGGTGATATAAATAATACTCTGAGCAAAATGAATGTTTTTGGATTTTCACCCTCCCAAAAGGTCTTAAGGATGAAATGCCCATGCATGTTATGTTGTAAATGTGAACATGAATTAATGCCACCACTTCAGTTTACTCTGATGTTTTTTCTTGTACTGTACCCAATGATTTATGAACACTTACTTGATAGGTCGATGTCCTCATTGGGGTTTTACAGACGTGTTTAATACGTTTTATGTACACACTTTATTAGAATACTTATGAAATGCACATTGTTATATTTGGTAACACTTGCTTATTTTCCCTCGACTCCAACCCCATTCGATGCATTGAACGGATGTGGATGAGCAATGTCTACATAAGGGTGCAAATTATAAACACTCACAAAAGATCTGAAGAAGGCCGATACGTAAAGCTTAATAAAGAGCAGTGAGACTAGCAAGGGCAGTGTGCAGGTTTCTTCTTTTTTCTCAAAGTTACAAGAGAGAAAAGAGACTATAAAAAAAAATACAATTTGTAAAAGAAAATGCTACCAGTCAAAATGGCACTTTTTTTCATAGGAAGGCAAACGGGCAGGTGCTCCAGCACCTCTAGAAGAAGAGCAGGTTGAACCCAAGGACGGTGCGATGACGTGAAAGAGTAAAAATGGCGCAAAATACATACCTACATCTCCTGAGTACAAACCTTCGTTCAATCCTTCGTCTCCTGTGTACAAACCAAGTAAAATTACCTATAAGTCGGTCAGCAGTAGTGAGTGCTCTGAAGTTGAACCAGACCAGGATAAAGTACCTGCGACGACAGGTGTGGTAGACACTTCCAGCGCTTGCCATGGGAGTCCTATCAGAGATGATTTTGGATTGGTAGATTCTGGTGGATAGCTGCTTTTTGGCTGACCATACATTGTTTCAGCCTGGGCAAAGTACAAACTGGGAGCGGTTACATCTGTGAACATTTCGAGAAGTGGAATTGTTTCGATTTTTTGTGCATCCTCTGCCCAGAGGCAGCGGGCGTTGCGTGTCACGCATCTTGGGGTTCAACCTGTGTCGTGCTTTGCTCTCCGGAGCAAGGCCCGCTCAAATGAGTGAGTAGTGGGGTAGCGTTGAGTGTAGAGGTGGATCAAACGAAAAATAATATTCCTGGTGTTTGTGACACCCACCATTTGATGAGACGTAGACTCGGTGGCAATGACGAGACTGAGAATACCCTGTCTGTCTTGTTGAGCTTTGACACAGAGTTTCTACCTGATAAGGTCAGGTTAGGTTATATTTGCTATTCTGTGAGGGCCTATGTTCGAACCCGCTACAGTGCTTTAGGTGGCAAGGATACGGACATGTTGCAGCAGTGTGTGGAAGGGAAATCCCACGATGTGAGAAATGTGCAGGAGGGCATAGTCAGAGGGAGTGTCCAGTTGGGATAGAGAAAGCACTGTGTGTCAACTGTGGGTGGGGCCATGCAGCTGGGGATCCGAAAGTGCCAACTGTTATATTGGCTGTCTAGTAGCCAACTTGTGGGATACTTGTAAACATTACAGCTAGGTCCTTTCAGCTGTTGTTTAGTTAGCTAGCCAGGTACCTAACAAGCTAGCTTCATTTTGAGTACAGTAGCTAGCTACTAACTACCTAACCTTGACTCTTCAGATAATGAGATTATCAGAACTTCTAAATGGTAGCTAGCTAGCGTAGTTACAGGTACTCTTATGCTTGAAACAACACTGGAAATTAATAGTTACCAGTAGCTACTTGGCTAGCTAGCTCTATTGGTCCAGGGAGTAGGTTAGCTAGCCTCTCTAGCTTCGCCGGTAAAACTCCAGTATTACCGCTAAACTCTGTAGTTATCCTTGATCATTCAATTCCATTGCAGAAGAGGGAGGAGAAGAGTGGATGGTCCTCCGCTTGTCCTAGCTAGCTGTGCTGTGCTCTGTAAGTTATCGATATGCAAAGCTACCCTGACCCTGGCTTTTTGGTGTGTTTACAATTCACGGAGTGTGGGCTGTGCCTGAGACCGTATGGGTCGTGCACACGGAGGAAGGTGGAGATGTGCACACCCGATCAATCAATATTTATAAGGAGCCATACGTCGGTGTTCGAAGGTTGAAACTAAACCAACATTTCCGCACTAGGAATTAAGTCAAAAGAGTGACAGCAACTTCCTCTGGAAGGGTCCTTTAAGGTTTTCAAGAAATATGTACTGTACCTTTTTAAGGTTTTCAAGAAATAATGGCAATGCCTCTCACCGTTTCCACTTTCATCACTGTCTCTCTCTCTCTCTCACTTTCACACACCCATTCACTCACGCAATCACTCCTGCTGAAATTGTTCTTGTTGTTGTTGTGTCTTTTTCACATGGATGGCAAATTTAGCTGGCTCATCAGCCGTGCTCCCACTCAAAACAGTCGCCTGCAACAGTGGCGCTACATAGTCCTGTGCCACGTCCAGTAGGCAAACGTTGTGGAACGTTGCAGATACAAATGTCATGAATAGAGCTGACACGATAGAGCTAATCCCCAATTCTAGGTGACAGACAACCATATCTGTTCTACACAATATATTTATATCTGAACGTTCCTGTAACGTTTCCACATCATGAACAGGCCCCTGCTGTCTTGGGCTGTTCTAATATAACTCTTCTTCTCCAATCACAGAACTACGTGTCTGCCCGTCGTCTCTTTCTCTGCCTGCCCACTGTCTGGACAATGTAAGCCTTACTCACGCTCTCTCTCTCTCTTTCTCTCTCTCTCTCGCTCTCTCTCTGAGATGATCAAAGGCTTTCTGAGGGCATACAAAAAACCTGTTTGGCTGTCTGCTCTGTCAGTTTGGAAATGTCTTGTTTTAGCAAGTAATATTAGCCTTATTTTGGGTATATACAGAGAATGTGTGTGTACATTTTCATGAGGATATAGAGGTAATGTAAAGAGAAGAAAACAAGCTCACAATCGATACCAACCCCTATTTATGCTCCTGCAATGTATCACACTTTATTTGGATAGTCCTCTATAGATGGTTCATACAATTTTCTGGTCTGTACCCCTTGATGGTGTTAGGGGTAGGGTGAGATTGGATAAATGTGGCCTGTAAACCATCTGTAGGGTACTATCTAAATAAAATGTTACAAATGTAGTATTTTTTGCAGGCATCACAGCACAGCATGCCACGCTCGCCTGGGGAAAAATTGCCTGGGGAATAATATTTTGCTGCATTAACCTCCTAGGGCTTAGTGGTCACATACGTGGACAGCACTTTTTAGCTCTTATGTCCACAATTGTGTAGAAGTTCTGTCATATTTCATGGCTTATTCTGATTTAGATATTTATAAAAGCCTTGTATATTTGTCATGACATGCAAATTTGAAAAAAAAAGTGTAAAACTAGCAACTTTGTAGGTCGCTAAACATGAAGTACACGTAAGTGTACTTATGGACTGAGGCTCCTCGAAACAGCTAATATGCTTGTAAACATGCACACACGTAAAATGGGAAAAAAGCTAGCTCTGATGCAGCTAAAAAGCTGTACATGGTCCCAATGAAATAAATAACAATGAAATCACTAAATACATACATACATACTTAAATTAGTTGTGTTGAAAATGTTAGCCTAATGCAATTCGGACCATGAATCCACATATGTGGACATCATTTTTCTCTAAAAGTACATCATATCAAAAGATGATACTTAGTTTTTATTCTAATTAGGTTCCAATAAGCCCAAATAGCAAGAGAAATAAAAAATGCATGTAAAAAAACAGCTTGGGCCTTAAGAGGTTAAATAGAATGTACCAATGCCACGTGTCTTCATCATCCCCAGGGAAATAAAACAATATTTTCTGCCTTTCTTTCACGGATTTTGTCCCAGGCGAGTGTGGCATGCTGTGCTGTGCTGTGCTGTGACTCGCACACAAAAAAAGACTGCATCTGTACCCTGGCCTGCAATCCTGTTCAGTGCCTGACTGTGAGTGTGTTTCAGGGGAAAAGATCTCCCCCTGCCTGTCACTACCCTCTGGTGATCCCTCTCCACCGCCACCTGCTGCTGTTCCACAGGGTAGGAGATGGCAACATTTAAATGGGGACTAGAAACAATGCCTTCATCCTAAATTACACCCTATTCCCTATTTAGTGCACTACTTTTGACCAGGACCCATATATAGGAAATAGGGTGCCATTTGGGAAACACAGTGGTTCAAATCTTTAGAGCGATATATACTTGATGAAAAAATTACTCTTATTTTCTCTTGTTTCCTCTTCATGTTCTCTATCCCTCCCTTACTGACTGTACCTTTCTCTCTCTGCGCTCTCTTGCACTCTCTCCCCATCTTTCCCACAATGTCTTCTCTCTACATCTCTCCCCCTTTATGCTCCCTCCCTCCCTCCCTCCCTCCCTCCCTCCCTCCCTCCCTCTCCTTTCCCTCTCTCGCCTCCTCTCTCTCCCTCTCACCCTCTCTCTCAGGTGCGCTGGCCACAGGAGAGGACTGAGTCCTACCTGTTGGTGTGTGCGGAGGGGGGAGAGCCCCAAGCCTGGGACAGACACTGCTGTGCTGAGATCTCCTGAACCCCCCCCCCCCCCCCCACACTATAGTGGGGAATGACTGACTTATCTATTCCACCTAGGAGTCCTATTACAGTATCTTTGAATGAGAGAGTTTTGAGTATGGTGGGTGGGTGATAAAGACAATGGTACTCATGGCACTGAGCAGAGTACTGGGGCATAAATAAACTGAGAGCAATGGGGACAGCAGAACTGGAAACTTCCAGGCAGTTGGACAGACATGGGAAAGCTAAGGACTGTCACTAAAAGGAATGAGGAGGTGGAAAGAATCAAATGAAGGACATCTCCTCCTGGACTACCAATTGCTGCCTGTGGCTGTCTGAGAGTCACAATGTATACATTTATATCTCTGAGCGGACAGAGGTAAAAGCGAGCACTGAAAACAAAGAAGACACCATAGGAAAAAGACAAACGATGTGTCCTGTGCTAGCTATTATGCTGTCAAAATGCTTTTGTAAATACACCTTGCTGTTTGGTAAGCCATTTTAAATCATTTAGGCCTAAAATGTTCCTTTGGACATTGAGGCATGAAAGGGAATAATACTGGATTTTGGTAAGAGAAACTGTATAGAGTACCACAGTATGAGTCATAATACCCATAAAACCTAGTGGTCAAACAGGGAAATGGTTCTAATCGTTTTTCCACCAATCATTTTTCCTATAGGGGATTTTAGAAACACTTAAAATAAGGGCTGTGTTTCGTGTAGGCTTACCCTGGCATGACATTTTGATAGACGTGTAAATCTCTCTAGGACAAGGTGACTTTTATCAATATATTTGCCTGTTTGACCACTAGGTTTATGGGTGTCATGACACCTCCACTGTGGGGCTCTATACTACAGAATATGCACTGTATACTGTAGGTTGCAAGGTCTTTTGTATGTGAGCAATACTCGAGATGTGGAAGAGCACGATTGTCACTCACTGGGTACTATAAAAGGTAATGTATTTTGTTTAAAAGAGGTGGCATTATACACTGAGTATACTAAACATTAAGAACACCTGCTCGTTCCATGACATAGACTGACCAGGATAAAGATATCATCCCTTATTGATGTCACTTCAATCAGTGTAGATGAAGGGGAGGAGACAGATTAACGAAGGATTTTTTAAACTTGAGACAATTGAGACATAGATTGTGTATATGTGCCATTCAGAGGGTGAATGGGCAAGACAAAATATTTAAGTGCCTTTGAACGGGGTATGGTAGCAGGTGCCAGGCACACCAGTTTGTGTCAAGAACTGCAAAACAGTTTTCCGTGTGTATCAAGAATGGTCCACCACCCAAAGGACATCCAGCCAACGTGACACAACTGTGGGAAGCATTGGAGTCAACATGGGCCAGCATCCCTGTGAAACGCTTTTGACACTTTGTAGAGTCCATGCCCCAATGAATTGCGGCTCTTCTGAGGGCAAAAGGGGGGGGGGGGGGGGGTTGCAACTCAGTTTTAGGAAGGTGTTCCTAATGTTTGGTATAGTCAGTATATATATTGTATTACTGAGATGCCTTAAGGTTTTATTGCACATATTTAATCATCTTTTGGAAACTATATTAATTACACTAATAAAATCTTTGGCTCATCTCTTGCTTGGCTCATGAATGAAGTGCGACATAGCCTATAGCGCCCCTATGTGATCGGAAAATTATGAAACGTATTGTCAAACATGCATATTTTGAAGGGAATTATTACACTTTTTGCTGTGATAATTACAATATAAAAGTATGTGGACACCCCTTGAAATTAGTGGATTCGGCTATTTCAGCCACACCCGTTGCTGACAAGTGTATAAATCAAGCACACAGCCATGCAATCTCCATAGACAAACATTGGCAGTAGAATGGCCCGTACTGAAGACCTCAGTGACTTTCAACGTGGCATATGATGCCACCTTTCCAACAAGTCAGTTCGTAAAATTTCTGCTGTTATTGTGAAGTGGTAAACATCTAGGAGCAACAACGGCCCAGCCGCGAAGTGGTAAGCCACGCAAGCTCACAGAACAGGACAGCCGAGTGCTGAAATTGTCATACATTCTTCTTCTCTACCACAGATTCCCACAAGGTCTCAGATTCCAGGATGAGAAAATGCTTGAAACAAATGAAGACGGAGTCAGAGTTGTCGATTTCCATTGTTACTTGTAATGTTAAAGGGAATCCCATATAACACTGGGAGGTAACCCAATCAAAAGAGCGAGGTGTAAACCTCTAAACAATACACTGGATGAGACCCGTAATAACAAGAACACAATACACGGTACACACGAGACCAATGGACATGGGACAGTAATCAACAAGGACAATGGGGAACAGAGGGCACATATATACACATACTAACCAGGGGGAATGGGATCCAGGTGTGCGTAATGAAACAAGACAGTCCGGGTTTGGTGGTAATGAACCAGGACAATGACATCTAGAAACCCGGTGACGTAGACCTCCAGAGCTGGTGAACGGAATGAGCAGCAGTACCGGTGAGATCCGTGACATTGGGACAGTGAAGCATTTCTTCTTCTTACTTCTTTTTCTTCTATATTTCAAAACTTTGAATTTGAAATCAACCAATGATTATGGAGGTTAAAGAGCAAACTGTCAGCTTGAATTTGAGTGTATTTTCATCCATATCGGGTAAACCGTTTAGAAATTACAGCTATTTTTGTACATAAGGGAGCAAAAGTATTTTTGGGTAGCAAAAGTATCGGGACAAATTCACTGATGTGTATTGAAGTGGAAAAAGTTAAGTATTTGGTCCCATGCACGCAATGACTACATCAAGCTTTTGACTCTACAAATTATACTGACTCACACTGTCAAAAGCATCCGAATCAAGCACACAGCCATGCAATCGTTTGGCCGCTGGTTTCATCGTTTGATTCAGGTCATGTGTGAATGAGACAAAAATAATAGCTAAAGTTAGTGACTTAGCTAGCTCGCATTAGCCAACTTTTAGCTAGCTTTAATGGTACATCAACTGGTGAAAGCTAGCCAAGTTAATTTACTTCTGTTGAAACGGGACAAAACAAAGGCTACAAAACATTTCCATACACACAACAGCTATTAGCTACTGCTACCTGACAGACAGCAAGCTAAAGGCTAGAGCTGAACTGTCTGTGGTAGCTACTAGCTATCTATCTAGTTCATTCACTTCAGACAGAACTTCAGTCGAGAGGGGATAAAACATTAGCTAACGTTACATGTCAGTTAAGTACACTACTAGCTCAATACTGGGAATAAAAATGTGTTTCTGTTAAGTCAAACATCAGTTACCTTGCCAGCTACATCAGTCAAATAAAGAGTAGCCAGTTTCTGCTCTGCTTGCTTTTACAACTCTGAGAAAAAGAGCAACACACATAGACAGCAGTTACCTCTTTTCATCTCTCCAGCCTTTCAGAAGCTTTGCCTTCACACAGTCTGTCCGCACACTCTTTGGTGTCTGCATGGTCCTAAATGCAGCCGGCCGAAACCAACAGCCTACCCAACCGCTCTTTTCAGACTTGGATGGTGCTTCCAGAAGCTTGAAAATTGGAGCTAGGTTGTCAAGATGGGTAACGTACTATATAAGTACACATTAATTGCAAGTAATTACCCCTCAAAATACACTCCATTTTAAGTAGCTAAATCCTATGTAACACCTAGTAACTACATTGTACTTATGCAGATATTACTTGTACTCTGTGGTGTACTTGTGGGTTTATCCTCTCACTTGGATGGCAAGGAGGTTCAGGTTGTCATAATGGCTAACGTTAACATACATATTAATTATAAATTATTTGTTTTATTACAATCTGGGATGAAACCCGTATGGTAGACACCAGTCAGTGAGGTTGACCTATATCTGATCTGTTTTTGTAAACTCAACCAAGTTAACCCAGATGGTACACTTTTGGGGGTCAAGTGCTAGCAACAACATTGAGTGGAGAATTTGAAGAGTGCAAATTCACGGGTAGGTAGTTAGAGCCTATTGAGCCTCCAACCTTTGTAATCTCGGACCCCCAGCTCATCTGTCCACAAGAGATTACAACCTTGTGACAGTTAATACGGAATCAGATGCAGCTGAGAAGAAACTAAACTTGCCCATTTGTAACAAGCATGGTAACAAGCATTTGTTGTTATACTTCTGTAATTACAGACTGCAATTACCACCATAACTGTTACAATGTAATCACATATTTAATTACACTGTAATAAGGACCCCTTAAAATTAAGTGTTACCAAATATTGGCTTTGAGGCAGAGTATACAGTCATGACCGAAACAGGTGCAACCACCTAGTCTAGCATAATTTGGGATCAAGGCAAGGAAATGCAGATCCCGCCAGCCCTACACTTTTAAATTGGAGCTTCTTTATTTGCATAATGTTGATTCTCTGGCTCTAACCAGACAAAAAGTCACACTATTAGGTCCATTTAAGTTTTATTTCCTAAATTGTAGTCCCATAATTTTGATGCACGTTTAGCCCACTGTACAGATTTTGGAGCCATCGTATGGCTCTGTTGGCCAATGTGACTTTGAGATTACTCTGATTGAAATATGCACCATTTAGAAATTTTAGATGATATGAATAAGGAGTCAATTACTATTTTTTTCTGCCAACTCGATGTAAAAGTAAATCATGGCAGCCAGAACCAAATCAGCTACTCAAATCGGCTATATTATAATGTTAAGGGTGTCACGAGAGACTAGTGTAAAAGTAATACTGTACCTCAATTTGTCTCCATTCTTTCATCATTTCCTCCACACACCTTCCTCCTCCTTTCCTCCCTCTCTCCCCCAAGATCAAGACCTTGATGGGCCCCGATCCTCAGTTCAAGTGGGTGGTGATGACCATGGTCCTGACTCAGGTGCTCTGCGACTTCCTGGTTTGTGACCTCAGCAGGAAGTGCCTCGTATTCTGGGCCTACATGTTCAGCGGCTGCATCAACCACTCCATCACGTTCGCCATCTACAATATCTCTCACAATGTGGTCTTCGGCACTAAGGACGCTATGTACAACCGCCTCTTTGGCATC